CACTTTCCCTGATGCCAGGCTCTCAAGCTGCCTGGCACCTGCTTGCCCCTCCGGGTTGGCCTCGCTCTGGTGCCCACTTGCCTGGAAGCAGGAATGGTGGGGAACGGAGGCTGCTGTACCGACGGCAAGCCAAGGCGTGGCCCAAAAGTTCTGCAGGGACAACAGAGGGCAGTGTGCTGAGTGTCTGGCGTCTGCTGGGACTTCTCTCCTTGTTCTGACCTGGGCAGGCAGCTCCTAGATGCAAAGGGGAGTCCCCTGCGCTGTCCCCTCCCCCACGTAGCATGGTCCCTCTTCCCTAAATGCATGAATTCCGGGGAGTCCGTGTCAGTCTCTCTCCCCCATCTCTTACCCTTTACCTAGTTCTCTCCCTTCACCTTGCCCCCTCCCCGTACAATCAAGTCCAGATTCCTGCTCTCCAAATAAGTTTTAATGTTAATATCCTGTGTGGAGAAAAAAACAAATTCCAGGTTTCTCCAGTAAAGTTGTCTGAACTGGCTTCCTTTCTAATTATTTACTCATTAAAAAAAAAATCATTGCATTCTATTATATTTAAGTACCAAGGCTTCTTAGAGGGAGAAATGGTCGTGATGGGTCCTGTCTTCATGGCTTCTACCACCTGAGAAAGATGGGGAGCAGGAGGAGCGGTGAGGCGGTGGGGAGGAGGGTGGTGCTGGGGTGTCGGGAGAGGGGCTCGCATTGCCCCCTCTCCCCGCAGCACAGGCGCCCGAGACTGGTGCTCTCCCTGTGCATCTCCAGAGCCAGGGAAGGGGCGTGCCCATCCAGGCAGGGTCCCGATAACAGGGATGTCTTGGTGCTGAGACTGTGGCCCGGGCGGAGAGGGAGCAGGCTTCTGGGTGGGCTTTTCCTTCCATCGCCGTGGAAATTGGAGCGTCAGAGGAGGACAGCCCGGAGCCTCGGGGATCCGCCATCGTGGGGACCCCTGCCGGGCCCTTTGGAGATCTCCAGGGAGCAGGGGGAGTGCCGCAGAGCCCTCAGCCCCCATGCCCCTGTCCCCTCTGCTTGCCCCCGGCGGGCATCCTGCTTTACTGCCCTCCTGCACCCGAGCCCAGACGCACGGCAGCTTGGCTGCTTCCCAAGGAAGACACGGTATTTAAAAAAAGGTGAGTTGGGATATAGCAGTCCTCCCAGGAGGGGGTGGTGTGTGCTCCCCTCCCCGCCCTCTCACCCTGTGGCCCCAGAGCTATCCTGAGGCTGCGGCAGCAGACAGAGGAGACGGGGGCCCTGCTCTTCACAGTGGACAGGTCTCAGCTTCACTCTGCGCTCGCTAACGCTGGAGACAGCCAAGAGAGGACCCTAGGGCGAGGGCTGGGTCTGAGCCGAGGAACCTGCTTCCTCCCCCCCTCCCTCCTCCTGCTCCCTGCCCCCCCTCCTCCTCCTCCTCCCTCCCTCCTGGCCTTCCTTGCCTCCTTCCTGCCCCAAAGCAGTCTCCCCAGGATGTGGGCTCCTCAGGACCTGGGAGAACTTTCTAGAGGACTCCTGTGAGACACCGTTTCCTAGTCCCTGCCCTGTCCCCCCGTCCATTTGTCGCTTTATCCACCTGCCCCCCACCCCACCCCATCACTGCGTGCGCTCCCAGGAGGGCCTGGGCTCCGGGGATGGAAGCCCTGGTTTAGCGCCTGGGACCCGACCGTCGGGCCGAGCAGGAGCCAGGGGGACGCGGCCACCTGCTGCAGATGACGAGCAGCCGGCAGAGCGGCAGGGCCACCTCTGGGGTGTGCTGGAGGCGCTTCCCCCGAGAAAACGCCTCTTGGGAGCGATTCCCCTGTCATCCTCTTCGGTGGGGGTGGGGGGGACGCTCGATTGCAGGGACCAGTGTTCCAAAGGCAGAGGACAGCCCCTTATGTGGAGGGTCTCAGGTTACGTGGGTGGGGGTCTGATTTTCAGATCATTTGATGGACTTGGATTTCCCGCTGCTGACGCCCTCCCTGGAGAGAGTGAAATGACTTCATCCACCTGTAGATGTCAGCAGCTGGGTGTCCTGAGCCCTTCCACCCATCTTCCAGGTTCATGTCACCCCCTCAATACTGTCAACGTCGACAGTGTTTGCAGAGGCCCCCTCCCCAATGTCGCTCTCCAAGGAGGCACAAACCAGCTAGCAAGTGTGTGCCGAGGGGCACAGGCTGCAGAGGAGCCTGGAACGCCAGCCTGGCTCTCCACCCGTCCCCTCAAGGCCCGCCGGCAGAGGATGGCCGGGCCGGGGCTCCAGGCGCCATGGTCCCCGCACCGGGCAGTGGCATCTGCCAGCTGTTCGGAGTCAGGTCTGCCTTTTGCTGGTCAATGCTGTGCCCTGGGCACAGTGGTCCACAGACCCCAGCAAGTCCCGCAGACCGCCCCTCTGGGGAACGGGCTTCCACTGATCACCTGATTTTGAAGGGGTTCCTATAGCATCACCAACTCAACGGGCATGAATTTGAGCAAACTCCAGGGAGATAGCGCAGGACAGAGGAGCCTGGCGTGCTGTAGTCCATGGGGTCACAGAGTCGGACAGGACTTAATAAGTGAACAACAGCAACAGCCAAGAGGTTGCAAGTGAGTCCTTCACCTGCCAGTGAGACTGGGTCCTCTGGGTAAAATCTGCTTCTCAGAAGTGTGCAGTCCACTACTGGTCACTTTGTGGGGGATGCAGAAGGCTCCAGGAAACTGCGTCCAAGTGGAAGCATCCTTGGGCCATGGCCCCCACTGGGAGCCTCAGCAGTAAGTTCTGCGTCTTCTTACCTGGTCCCAGCACTACTGGTCTTCTGCTTGTTTGTTTTCCTCTATCCTCATGTCCCTAGGAACTGGGAAACAGTGATGAACTGTACTTAAAAAACCAAGCATTGCCTGTCTCTATTTTTAGCAATAAGAAGGAAAGGGCAACCCACTCCACTATTCTTGCCTGGACAGCTCCACGGACAGAGGAACTTGGTGGGCTACAGTCCCTGGGGTTGCAAAGAGTCAGACACAACTGAGTGACTAACGCTAACATACAACAAACGAACCAGTCAATCTGAAAGGAAATCAACCATGACTATTTGCTGGAAGGACTGATGCTGAAGCTGAAGCTCTAGTGATTTGGCCACCTGACGCAAAGAGCCAATTCACTGGAAAAGACTCTGACACTGGGAAAGATTGAAGGCAAAAGGAGAAGAAGGTGGCAGAGGACGAAATGATTGGGTGGCATCACCAACTCCATGGACATGAGTTTGAGCAAACTTTGGGAGATGGTGAAGGACAGGGAAGCCTGGTGTGCCACAGTCCATGGGATTACCAAGAATCGGACACAACTTAGTGACTGAACAATGACAGCATACAGCAAACATCAAATGTGACATCACAAATGTGTCTGGGCATTAATGTCAGTGACATATAAGGGACGTTAGGGTTTTTCATTCCTTAAGAGAACGTGGCCATCTCAGTAAGTTTCTTGGTTCAGTTCTGATAAACTACACCAACAGCCAATATCTTGAGAAGTTCCCCATGTTTTAAAATTTTCTTCTTTTTTTCCACTTCAGATAATTCTTCAGTTTCATGACTTTAGCTTTTAACTGTGATTCATGAAGTAATAAAAGGACCTTTTATTCAGGAAGCCACTTATCCTGCCAAAATTCTTTCTTTATTAGCTTTCTCATTATGAGCCAGTAACAATCACCCATTTCTTAAAAAGAGCCAGATTCCTTATCTCTCAAGAGAGGGATATGAGAGACATATAAATAGTAGAGCAGCCAGATTAGTAATTCGTCAGTAACTCATGAGTAAGTCCGATTTCTCAATTATCCTGGGGACTGGCCCAAAGCTGGAAGTCTCAGAATTCATCTGTGGCTCGGTATGGATTCTCCTTATGAGATGTTGGCTACAACTCATTTTTCAGTTAGCATTTGAAAGTGGAAATCACTCATTTGTGTCCAACTCTTTGAGACCCCATGAACTATACAGTCCATGGAATGAATACTGGAGTGGGTAGCAGTTCCCTTCTCCAGGGGATCTTCCCAACCCAGGGATCAAACCCAGGTCTCTCGCATTGCAGGAGGATTCTTTACCAGCTGAGCCACAAGGGAAGCCCAAGAGTACTGGAGTGGGTAGCCTATCCCTTCTCCAGTGGATCTTCCCTACCCAGGAATTGAACTGGGGCCTCCTGCATTGCAGGCAGATTCTTTACCAACTGAGTTATGAGGGAAGCGTTTGCTCTGAGGTAATTGCATTTGTACCATCTCTAAAAAACCTCTAAAAATGATGGGCAAATTCCCCCGAACTGAATGTGTCTGAGACCTTCCTGGCCCATGCCTCCTTTACTGGGGAAACCTCTGGATACTGAATGTATTTCCCTCTGGACACTGAACAAGGGTCATGTGACCACCTGAGATGACCTAACAGGAAAGTGATGAGATCCTGCTCACGTCTGCATTCAGCCTGGTCCAGCACGTGCTGTGTGATGTGTTTGTGGGATTTCTTTTCTTTCCCTAGCCACCTGCTTTTCTGAGCATACCAGTGTTAACACTCATGTTATCAACCTTCAGAGCAGAGAGAGTAGCTGGAGCTGAATATGACATCTGATGTAAGTGAAGAGACGTCTGACGTATCTGAAGAGACGTCTGACGTATGTGAATAGAACGGAACTGCTTTGTGATGGGAGGAGAAAATGCCCAACTTTTAATCACCTTTCTTACCATATATACAGAAACGGCACGTGTTTGCTAGAAAGCCATTTCAGGAATTCAGAGAGTCGGTACCTTTCTCTCTCTTTCTTGAAAAGTGGGGTATATTATATTTTATTCTTTTCATTTGCAACTGAGTAAAAGATATGGAAATGAGACCTTTGTCTAGTTTTTTTTTTTTTTTTCTCATCACGCTTCCTACTCATGACAGATTTTGGCCACTTCTCCTGAGACTAATAAGCCCTTTAAAGGTTTCTTTTGTATCCCCAACTTAAAGAGTTGCATATTTCACGAAATGCCAACCAGGAGGTCACCAGCACGTGTGGGCAGGCGCCTTTTGCAGGAGTGATGATCATGCGCTCCTTCTTCCACTGGGAGACGCTGAGCCCCACGTCTGCAGGCTGGCGAGCGGCCATTGCTCTGTCTCTCAAGATCCTGATCTATCCGGGTTAATAGACGTTGGGAGGAGGCGTTCCTGAGAAGTGCCAGGAGACAGCACTCCCCCAGGGGACTGATCAGAGGATGAAGATGCACGAGACTTTCAAATACAAATATGACAGGTCATTCATTTAGGCTCTGTTGGTACATGAATAGCAGCTGAATGAATGAATAAGAGCGGGAATCTGGCCGAGCACCCGAATGTCTGCAGAAAACCCGGGTCTGTTTATCCAGATCACAAAGAAATGTTAGCCAAGGATGAGACAGTGTTTTTCACTTTTTAAAAACACTGGGATAATTGTGTGTCAGAAAAGACTTGTTAACGCATAGATGAACAAATAATAAACTATGAATGGATGCAGAAAAATCATAGGAAACAAATGGGAAATTGAGCATAATTTAGCTCAAGTACACTATAGTTGAAGTGAGATTAGGGAATTGTAAGATGGGAAGCAGGTTTGGAGAAACTTGAATGTGGCATAATAATTACCATAATAAGTTTTGGAAGGGGACATGGAAACTGACATACAAGTTACTGCAATAATCTAGCAATTCCTCAACTGAGATCCAAGGGTTATTAATTTTATATTGTCACATCACTTACAATAAGGATATTACAATAATGGGGGTAAACAAAGTTAAACATTTTTTTTTTTTAAAAACTGATAGCTGAGAATTTCCAAGGAGGAGAAACATGAGGCAGAATTTGCAACAGTTATTTGATCCCGAGACCTCTTTCTTTTCTCAAGGAAGCTTGTAGGACTCCTGTTGTGCGGGTGACACTGGGAAATGCCGGATAAGACCTTGCAAGGGTCTGATCGGGGCTCTGAGGGTTGGAAGGGAGACAGGAAGGAGAGATTCCGAGAGCTGCTGCAGGGGTGGAGCCAACAGGACAGCAGTCTCGTGAGACAGAGGAGGGAATTTAGACACAGTGGATCTGGCTGGAAGCATGAGGTGGTCAGATGGCATCACCAGCTCAATGGACGTGAATTTGAGCATGCTCTGGAGAGAGCAGAGGACAGAGGAGGCTGGCGCGCTGCAGTCTATGGGGTCACAACGAGCCAGGCACGGCTCGGTGACTGCACAAGGACGGCACTCGGACGCCTAGACACGCGTCTCCCCCGCCTCGCGCCCCTGCCTTCCTGCTGAACCCCTGCGGCTCCACCTGTGGCTGTTTCTCTCATCAGAGGTGATCCTCTGAGGCTGCTCGGAAGTGCCCTCAAATCAGCATGCCCGGGAGCAGCCTCTGGACAGTGGAGCGTGGGAGGGATGGCATGTCCAGGTTTTCCCTTCCCACAGAGCAGTCTACACAGCCTCCCGGAGCCCCAGGTTTCCACAGCTGTGACTCGTTCAGGCCTTGGCCATCTTGCCTGCCTTCTCTCCCTTCCTTGCCTTTTCTGGAGCTTCCTGGAGTCAATTTAACTATTTTCATCCGACTCGTGGTCTCAAGGTTGTTTCCAGGAGAACTCAGGTGCTTAAATGAGGAAGAGCCGAGCGCATCCCATGTCTCTGCTGGTGGGCCGGGGGTGGGGGGGTGGCGTGGTGGGTCTCTGCTGCCCCACGCGGGCTTTCCTCTAGTCGCGGAGCGTGGGGGCGACTCTTCGTTGCCGTGGGAGGGCTTCTCACTGAGCTGGCTCCTCTTGCTGTGGAGCTTGGGCCCTGGAGCACACGCGCTTCAGATGCTGAGGCTCACGGGCTTAGCTGCACTGCGGCCTGTGGGAGCTTCCCGGACCAGGGGCTGAACAGGATCCTTAACCACTGGGCCCCCAGGGGAGTCCAAGGCACTCATCATTCTCATCACACTTCCTTGTCCTACTTCATCCTTTTCTGTTTAAGAGCTCCAACACACCGTTGTATCTGCTACCTGTCTATCCATCTGTCACCTATCAATCAATCAGTCATCTATCCACTTGGTCTATTACCTATATTTCTATCTATCCATCCATCCATCCATCAAGATAGAGGATACAAGTAAATATGCAAATATACTGGGTGTGGGTCATCCCTGGGTGATGTGAATAAGGGAGAACTGATTGTGTGTGTGTGTGTGTGTGCCTTTGCATGTTGTTCCAGTCCTATAAAACAAACTATGCTTGCTTTTATATTAAGGAGAAAATTATGTAAGTGAAAGTCACTCAGTCATGCCCTACTCTTTGCAACCCCGTGGACTATTCAGTCCATGGAATTCTCCAGGCCAGAATACTGGATTGGGTAGCCTTTCCCTTCTCCAGGGGATCTTCCTGACCCAGGAATCGAACCCAGGTCTCCCACATTGCAGGCAGATTCTTTACCAGCTGAGCCACCAGGGAAGCCCCAGAATACTGGAGTGGGTAGCCTATCCCTTCTCCAGGGGATCTTCCCAACCCAGGAATTGAACCGGGGTCCCCTGCATTGCAGGCGGATTCTTTACCAGCCAAGCCACCAGGGAAGCCCATAAATATCTTTTACATGCTGACATAAAAGACTAAAGATTTCATATTCAACTTTTGCACCATTCCTTGAAAGGAAGGATAGCTTAACATGAATCTATGTACCCAGCACCTCCCCCTCAAAAATGTGATTTCCCTTAAAAGAAAAAGAAGGAAGACAGAGAAAGGAATCGCAGAGCATCTGCAGACTAGCTAGTCGGGTCCTAGTTGTGAAGGCGGGGCTGAGGCTGTGTCATTAGCTTCTGTGGGGCTGGGTCTCCCCTCCCGCGGGTGGAAGTCCTTTACTATAGGCACACAGGCGTCCATCCCTCTGCCTTCTGCTGAGGATTATGACTCATCCTCGCCCACACAGCTTCACTTAGCGGCTTTGGTTTATGTCTGAGTCTGTGACATTTGACTCCTTGGTGCTGTAGACCATTTCCATTAAACATGTACAGTCATGGCAATGCCCTTAAACCTAACTCAAAGATTGAGTCTGAGATAAAATCTTTGTTAGGAAGATCGGCACGGTTAATAGGGATGTAGAAATTGTCTGGACGTGACAAAGAGCATCAGCGTCCTACCTGCAGGGTCTGTGGGTGGTGTGGAGGGATGGCCTGAGGGAGAGAAAGAGCTTTCCTGGTTCTGTAGGTTCCATCGGGGGTGACATGCTGCAGGGCTCCAGAGAGGATGTAACAGATGAGGGGTTTCCAGAGTTTCCATGCTGTACCTGGTGTGTGTGGGGGTGTGTGGGTATGTGTGTTTTAAGGCCTGTGTGGAGGGGTGTGTGTGTGGGTCTGTGGAGTGTGTGTGTGTGCATGGGCGGGTGGGTGTGGTTTATGGGCATGTGAATGGGGGAGTTCTGTGTGGGTCTGTCTATGGTGTGTGGGTATGTGTGTGTGAGTGTGTGTGGTGTGTGGGCATGTGTGTCTGTGTGGTGTGAGGGTGTGTGTGTTGGGGAGTGGGTGTGTATGGGAGAGGGTATGTGTGGGTGTGTGTGTGTTGGGGTGGTGTATGTGTGCCGTATACGTGGGATGTGGGCTTTTTGGGGTGCCTGGGCAAGTGTGTGGGTACATGTGGGTGTGTGTGGGTGTGGGTGGGTGTGAGTGGGGGGGTGTGTGGTCACAGGTGTGTGGGAGTGTGTAGATGTGTGTGGGTGTGGTCGCGGCTGTGTGGGTGTGTGTAGGTGTGTGGGTGTGAGTGTGTGTGTTCACAGGTGTGTGTAGGCGCGTATGTTCCACAGATGGCTTGGTAACCTTGGATCATCGGGGCTGTGCCTGCCTGAGCTGGTCCTCCGCTAACACGGCCTGGAGGCGCCGCGCGTTTAGTGGCAGGAGGACCAGTGTGCATGGCCTGGGACGTGAACCCCGGCCCATCTGCGGTCCTGCTGCAGCAGCCGTGACAGGTGGAGGCGGGAGCGGGCGGGCCAGGGAAGGGATGAGCTTGGCCACCTTTTCCACCCTCTTGCTAAGCTGTGACTCTTGTCGTGTTCAGAACTGTGAACAGTAGTCTTCTTCTCTTTAAAGAGGCTTCAGCCACTGCTCCCCGTGAAGACAGATCCCCACTACGAGCATCCAGACCTCAAAGGGACCGTCGGACAGTCCCCCAGAAGCAGCGGTGAGACTCCAGCTGCCCTTCCTGCAGGGTGTCCTTCTCCCGCCCCGAGTCCGCCTTCAGCCTCTCCTGATCCTTGGCCTTCTTCCCACCTCTTTGGAGAGGACCGGCAGGCACCTTGCAGCCAGAGGCGGGCAGGGTGCAGCCACAGTCTCAAGCAGACCCACGGGCAACACGCAGGGTCGGACAAGCCCCACTGGGAGCAGAGGGCCCTGGGCTGGTCGTGCTGCGTCGGCCCCCCGGGCCCACATCCCGCAGCCTCTGTCCGCCCGCCTGGGCTCCCAGGGGGCAAAAGCCCGTGGTCACTACCTCCTGCGCCCCCGGCCTCCCGTCAAGGACAGTCACTGGAGGCCGGGCCAGAGAGTGAGGTCTGTGCTGCCGACCCCGGGGTGGTGGCCCGGCTCCGTCACTCCAGAGCCCCCTCTGGCTCCAGCTCTCTCGCCTGCCTCAGACAATGCCCCTGCCTCCCCGGCCTCCCAGCTGCTGGTACGAGGGGCCTGGACGCCCACTGGTTACCTGAGCTGACTTCCGTGTCCACGAGCAGCCCCGTCATTAAACTTGGCGGTCAAGCGCTTGTGAGCCGGACTCTTCTGCAGAGACTGACTGACAAACCTTTGGAGTTAGAGTGGCTGCAGCCCTCTTCCTATTAGAGGCAGGGAGGAAGGAACGCTGTTCAGTCACTAAGTCATGTCCGACTCTGCGACCTCGTGGACTGCAGCACACCAGGCCTCCCTGTCCTTCGCTGTCTCCCAGAGTTTGCTCAAACTCATGTCCCTTGAGTCGGTGATGCCATCCAACCATCTCATCCTCTGTCGTCCCCTTCTCCCGCCTTCAATCTTTCCCAGCATCAGGGTCCTTTCCAATGTCGGCTCTTCGCATCAGATAGTCAAAGTGGTGGAGCTTCAGCTTCGGCGTCAGTTCTTCCAATGAATATCCAGGGTTGATTGCCTTTAGGATGGACTGCTTTGATCTCCTGGCTGTCCAAGCAAGGATGAGAGACCTTTAGTTCAGCTTCCTTCCTGGGTTCCTCCTATTTAAGTGGAAGGCTCATCTCTTTCTTTGAACTGACAACATCAGTAGCCACAGGCTTCCCAACTTCTTCAGTTTCAGAAGCCTCTCTGAGCAGTCCACTCCGGGATACCAGCAGAGGTGGGGTGGATGGGCATTTGGGATTTCTCTGGACCATGGGTACATGGCTTCTGACTGTCCAGCTGCCTGGACAAACTCAGGGAGCTGGGACACACCTCCGCGCACACAGCTTTGCGTCAGCACTCGGAGCTGCTGCCCCGGGAACGTGCTTTTCTGGCATTTCTTAGCTCTTGCTGCTTATTTCCCTCGTCTCGGAACAGAGACAAGGACAGGGTCCCTGGTGGTTTGCCCCTTGCCTCATGGAGTCTGAGCAGTGAGCTGCCCGCATGACCCTCCGCGGGCTCTCCTAGAGAAGGAGAGACGAGCCCGCCCATCCGCACATGGACCACTCGGGCTGCCGAGCTCCCCGATCTTGGAAACCCCAGGCCTGGACGTGGCAATCCCACTCTCTCCAGAGCCCTGTTGCTGTCCTCACTCCATTTCCTCTAACTCTCTGGCCACTCCAGCCACGCTCCGAGCATCATACTGGAGCAGAGACCCACACCCACACATGCCCCCCCACACACACTGTTTCATCACCCACAAGCATCACCAGCTCACTCTTGGCAGTTCTGTTTCCAAAATGTTCTTCCACCAGATTCCCTTTTCTTGTCCCCACCAGCGATGCCCTGCTTAACAAGCGGCCGTCTCTCCCGGAACGCCCACACCACGCATCCCCCAGGCCGGTCTCCTTGGCCCCTACCTCGGCCTTCACAGTCGCTCTCCACGTTGCCGTTAGCGTGTCCTTGCTACCCACACCTGGCCGCAGCCCCGCAGCTGAGTACCCTTCAGTGGCAAGCCTTCAGTTAACTCAATGCGGGCGGTGCGTCCCTCACCGTCTGACCCTGCTCACCTGTCCAATCCTGTGCTTTGCCAGTCCTGTCTTCCTTCTCAGAACCCCACCGGTTACCATCCTGGGACCCCCAGGACAGGAACAAAACAATCTTGTACCAATTTCTTCTTCACCTTCGCCTTTCCCTCTAAACTTCCTAAGTGTATCTTCCCCCAAGCAGGATAAACGATGTTTTTAGAACGTTGACTTGAGCTGGCTTCCCATTCAAAATCTAACGAAAACACCCAAACCGTGACATAATCAGTTCAGGTGTGGCAATGTGAAATCCCATCGAGTCACCTGTAATGGTGAGGACAACCTGCTCACATGCCTGCAGGCATGAGTCCTGGAGGAGAAGGGTAGGGCCCGGGGGGGAAGAGAGGGAAGAGGTTTCTATCTGTAACCCTCCCCACTCTCACCTTCAACACACACTGTCTCTCTGTCTCTTCCTTTGTCTCAGACATAAACGCTTTGACCATCAAATAATCAAGCAATCATCCTGGTGTAAATATTTCATTTGTGTGTGAGCATGAGAGAGACAGAGAGAGAGAGAGATATCTCTCACTTGAAACCCTGAATCTTTCCTTGGCTCAGAAAGGCTCTCCCTGGCATTTCACTGCCTGGGAAATGCTTTCTTATCCTTCAAGACCAGGCAATCTGTTACCACAGCATTCTTACATATGTCTGCAGCAAAACTCATTGATTTGTTCATTAGTTCATGCAATTCACTTCTCTCTTTCACAGCTATTTATTGTCATTCTCCCCTGCAACACCACCCAACTCTCTTAAAAAGCCCTGTAATGTTCTGTTGCCCTTGAGAGGAGGACAGATCACCTTGATGCAGATGACAAAGGCTTGCACAGACTGGTCCTTTTCTGTATCTCCAATCTCCCCCTTGAAGTGACGCACATAAATCTGATAACAGTGCTTAGACATCAGATCAGTGCACTAGGGGAGCCTAGAATGTAGGATATTTCAGTACATGGGAAAAGGCTCACTACAAATCATGGAGAAAAATGAAGCCCACTTGGTATATATTTTTGCATACATATTGTATCGTTTGTCTGTATTTTTAACTGTTTAGGAAAATCTCCATAGATTGTCCCCTCATATCACAGTTCAATATAATCTCAAAGATATGAAAAAGATAAATTCTGACATTAAAATATAAATATGTTTATAAATGAGAAAGTAATTCAACAATTTTTAAAATACATTTACATTTAAATTAAGGATGGGGAAGGATTTGTCAGCATAATAGCAAAAGAAGAAATTGCAAGAATGACCTTTTATTGATTTGATTAGACACCATTTTTCATCATATTGGCAACATCATAGGCAAAATGAAAGGATCAAGAAAACTCGGGTAAATATTTGCAATGTGTTTGATGAAGAATTTATGCCTTAAACATGTAAGAAACTCATACACATCTATTAGTGATTCACTGACATCTCTGTGGAACAGAGTCCAGCATCTTCAGTGCTCTGAATAATATAAATTCCTTATTACTCGTTTGCTCTTAATGTCACTATTACTAAAACATAGGGAGAAAATACAAGGTTCAAAGGTACTAAAAGTAAAGATGAAACACATAAAACAATGTCCATGCTCATTTGTAGTCACTGAACTTTAAATTCTTGACAGATATAATTGCTATTATTTTATTAAAAACTGTACTATCAGTACACTAGCCAAGGCTGTTCAGTGTGTGGTGATAATTAACACTGTTTATCAAATGTTTTCTTGATTTTACTGTTTGGGGCACGTTTTTTCGCTCTTGAAGGTGGGTGTGACCAGGTAATTTACTGGGGACAGAGGCACTTAGGCAGAAGTGGGTGTGTCCCTTGTGGGCGGACCTCCCAGACCAAAGTATGTGGCAATACCTTCTTCCTGGCCAAGTCTAGAAGCACATTTTCTATGCAGCCTCCTTCATCCTAGGTCTTTAAAACTGATGATGGAGAGAGAATGCCAGCCTGCAGTGGACGCAGGACATGGACAAATAAGGACCTTTTTTAAGTATTAAGTTCCTGAAACAGCAGCATTTATTAAAGTAGCCTGTTCTGGTGGATACCACCCATAGGAAGAATATAATTCTTCCTTTCTTGGAAGCATCTTTCTTGGAAACAACTGGGCAATATATAAGGATGCTTTCAGGCATTTTAGATTTGGGCTGACTGCCGTTCATGTCCTTACTAGGTAAAGATTTTGTGAATTTGCTATGTGTTAGAAAACCTAACAGTCTCAGGGAAAACAAAACAAGTGCCAACACAAGATCTCATAACAATTTCCTCTCAAAAATTCTTTCCTAAGAGATATTAGAAATATAATTAATAAACAAGCAAAAAGCATGCAAAATGCGTATTTTTATCTGTTATGTTGATCAGTTGGATACAAGGCAAGTATTCAAGAATAGGAGAATGGAAAATGAAATGTATTCTTTTTATAGAATGAAAGGGGCTTCCCGGTAGCTCAGCGGTAAAGAATTCGCCTGCAATTCAGGACACACAGGAAATGCCGGTTTGATCCTGGGGTTGGGAAGATCCCCTGGAAAAGGAATACCCACTTCAGTATCTTGTGTGGAGAATCCCGTGGACAGAGGAGCCTGGCAGGCTACAGTCCGTGGGGTCACAAAGAGTCAGGCATGACTGAGCATGCACATGTATAGAATGAAATAGTCTGCTTATTTATAATTTAAAAATAATATTCACAGACATAGCAAGTACTAATTGCATAATAATTAGTGAAGAAAGCAAAATGGTGTTCAAAGTTTAGCATAGTCTAAATGGAGTCATATATTATAAAATAAGGTAGTGTTATAATCAAATTATTAAAATTTATTATTTTGGGGTAAAAAGAAAATGCAATTTTTTGTATCTTTTGTAATGAAAATTAAAAATGGACTCGCTCTACTTTTGAATAAAATTTTAAAATTAAAGTAATTTAAAAAAATTCCCAACATTCACAGCTCTCTGGAGGATGAATTAAATTACATTTTCAGAGTGCTTACAATTTATGCATAACAACCACAGCATTATTAAAACAAAACACAGACCTAACTCCAAAAGAAACAGAAGGATAAAAAATACATTATAATCTGATCCAAAATGATAAAATTGTTTGGAAAATAGTATTTCCAGTGGCTTAGTGCTCTAGAAGTAGATTGGCTTCAATTCAGTAGGACTATAATATGCAATTAAAGTATAAATTTGCATAATAATAGCCAATTCTCATCCAACTTCCAGTATTAAAACTGAGTTAAAAACAAAACACATGATTTGAATGAACATAGAAAGATAAATTTCAATATAACTTGCCACATTAACAGATTAAAGGAGAAATAAATTATTCTTTCATTTCAGTAAACACAAGAAAAAATTCCACAAAAGTCAATAGCCATTCATCATCAGACAAACAACTTTTAACACACCAAGATGGAGGGGCTTTTCCTTGACTTGGTAGAGAATTTTTTATAAACCTAAAATAAATATGATACATCATGGGAATATTAGAAATTTTTCATTTAAAAATCAGAAATAGCATCAGGTTGCCAATCTCACACCAGTATTCAAGATAGCACTCACTGTTTCAGTGGAAAACAGTAGGAAAAAAAATCTAAACAGATGGAAAAGGAGGAGCTGGTTTTGCCACTATGTGAAGATTATATTATTGTTTACATAGGAAAACCAGGA